TTACCCACTCGACGTCTTATGGTGAATTGTATTATTAGGTGATCGCTGTCCCCCAGATGGCTACCGATCTGTAGGTCCCCTACCATGTCATCCCCCGTTGCCAATACCAGATCCAGCAAGGCATTCCCCCTAGTGGGACCGTGTACCTCCTGTGTCAGGTGGAGGTCCTGGACACAGGATAGGAACCTGCGTGAGCAGTGGGACTTTGCCGTCTGCGTCTCCCAGCAGATGTCCGGGTAGTTTAGGTCTCCCATGACTACCGCCTCTTTAGCTTTTATGGTCTCCGAGAGCTGCCTCAGGAGCCCCGAATCTATTTCTTCCCCTTGATGTGGGGGTCTGTAGCAGACCCCTACCACCAAATCCCTTTCTCCTTGCCCCCCATGTAACCTAACCCACAATCCTTCTACTTCCTCATCCTCCGATTCCGTCTTGATGAGGGTCGACGTATATTGCTCACTGACATAGAGCGCAACCCCTCCCCCTTTCCTCCCCACCCTGTCCTTTCTGTACAGCCTATAGCCCTCAATATGTACCGCCCAGTCGTGGGACGAATCCCACCAGGTTTCTGTTAGCCCCACTAAGGGCTCCCATACCCATGGCATGCTTTAAATACACCTATTAAGGCCTGGACCATTCAACCCCCCGGGCTGTGCTGTGATGTGCAGGGTAGATAGGCAGCCGCACACGCATCTCTCCCAGGGTCTTTGCAAGGAGCCTTGGCAGGATGTGAAGAGCTGCTTCAGTCTGAGCGCAGAGGTGTCAGCTCTTCGGCAGCTCTTGGAGCAGAGGCCGCGTGCACGTGAGTGCCTGGGCGTGCAGCATCCCCTCTGCGGGGGCGGCACTTCTGTCTCCGGAAATCTCTTGGCCTGGGCCTTGGCCCCCCCTTGCAGCAGGCAAGCGCCACCTGCTGGTTCTTCTCCCGTCCGGTCGTGGCCCCTTAGCAGTGGCGCGTGTTCGAGATGCTGCGCTCTGCGTTGCTCTGGGCCGGTCCCAATGCAGCATCTTGGCTGTCCCCTTAGCTAGGTCAGGTGCCAGGTCTTAGCTCCTCAAGGGCCAGAGCCCTGCCTGCCATCTATTTGGGTGCTGCATCTCCATCTCCATAGGAGCTCGGCACGCTGCCTGCTTTGAGGTAGAAATTCCCCGTAGAGATTGCATTTGTCCGGCTGCTTAAAGCTGAATGCTAGCAACGCGTGGTGCTGCCACGTGAGGCCCCTCGCAGAAGGGATGGGTCGTGATCATGCGGACCGCCGCTCACGTCTGGGGGCTACAAGTCCACAGGATGTGTCTGCAGCTTCCTGTGTGGTTCTGAGAGTCCACGTGTGGGGCTGCTGGGGAACAGGTGAGATGCCAGTTTGTGGCCCCGGCCAAGACTACAGCAGCTCGCTGGCCGCCATCTCCAACTGCCCGTTGCCTACAGGCCAGTGTGGTTCGTAGGGGCTTGCGCAGGTGCAGGTTTCACCCAGACTCCTGGGCATTCCCGTCGGCTCTTCCCCTGCCCCGGAGGTCGCCGAGTACCTTCTCCTTGCTCGTTACCTAGCATCCTCCTGGGAAGCAGGGCGCAGCCCGTGCCGTCGCTGTGCTCTCCCCTGCTTTCCCTGTGCTCTCTCTTGCTCCGTCCATGATCTCGCAGCCCTCTGGGGCCATTGGCTTTGACAGTTTGGGAAGGTTTCAAACTCCGTGTGCTCCCTCTCCCCTTCCCACAGATCGCGGAAGGAATGGCTTTCATCGAGAAGAGAAACTACATCCACAGGGACCTGAGGGCCGCCAATATCCTGGTGTCAGCAACGCTGGTGTGCAAGATCGCAGACTTCGGCCTGGCCAGAGTCATCGAGGATGAGTACTTGGCGCGGGAAGGTAGGGTGCTGCTGGGCAAAGGGAGCCTGTGGAGCACGATGAGCCTAACGAGATGCACACAGACAGTCACGCCCGTACCAGGGAGGGGGCTGGTACCCCGTGCTTGGGGCTCCTGGGGTCACCTATGGCAGCTGAGGTTCCTCCCTCTCCCCCTATCCTATGCATCGGTTGGCTTCTGTTTTGTGGGGTTGCATGCTTTTTGTGCTTCTTTTGAAGCACTGGACATTGGCTTCAAAAGCTGAAGCTGGGGCTCCTAAGAAGCAGCGAGACCCCCTCAGCTGGGTGGCCGATGGGCGTAGCTCACATGTTCAGGTTAAATCAGCTGCCAGATGTGGGGGCAGGGAGGAACTGATTCTCCCTGGCTCTGTTTGAGATGCCCTCTATTGATTCTGACTTGCTCTGTGTGTCCAGGTGCCAAGTTTCCCATCAAATGGACGGCGCCAGAAGCCATCAACTACGGGTCTTTCACGATAAAATCAGATGTCTGGTCCTTTGGGATCCTCCTGATGGAGATAATCACCTACGGACGCATCCCATACCCAGGTGAGAAGTCCTGCCTTATCTCAGGGAGGCCGTTTTTAGCTTGGCTGTGTGATCTGCTGCTGGGTGGTGTTAGAAAGGGGTGATAAAGAGG